TGATACTCCGTATTTTAAATTCAAAATCTAAAATAGTGAACTTATGAGCACCAATTGCCGAGAATCACAAAAGATAGCTGATTAGCCAAATATTGTTTCAAAGTGATAGAGTATATGGACTTAGACCCCATGGCCCACATACTCAGAAGGTCAAAAGACACCAGAGGGACATCGGCATGTTGCCCTTCGGCCTAGTGGGTCCCTTAAAGGCCAGAGCCGGATTCGCTCAGGACACTGTCTAGAGGTCAAGTGGGTCCCGCATTGGCGGGGTGCATCCTGGCAGAATGTATTTCCCTATCTTTTTTACTAAGTATTATACTAAGTCCATTAGTGGCCTTATTTCGACCAAAGAAGACATAATTATTGTATTTGGCCTCCTAAGCCAAAGGCTAGGAGCCCAAATCCACATTTACTCCTATTAATTGCTCACTTTCTCTCTCTAACTCTCACTTCTATCTAGAATTAAATACTTTATCACAAAAAGTATTAGAGGGAATGAGTGTCATATACTACTATACTAATGCACTACTATTCATATATAGTTAATATATTAAATAATAAAGACATAAACTATTAGAATATATAAGTTAATTGTGCAGGTCGAGTAACTATATCAAAATTAAACGGGGCGGGTAACAGGACGAATAACGGGGCGGGTAGGGATAAACTCGTAACCGCTCCGTTACCCATTTACATAAATCGGGTATTCCTCGTACCCGTTACGGCATTACCTAGTCAAAACAGTTTTCCCCATTTCAATTCGATTCGGTGCGGGTATTCATCGGATCGGACTACGGTATGTATGATTTTTATTTCACAATTATATGGATGAGGAGCAACTTAAGTTATAGCCTACCTCAAATTGAAAAAGTAAAAAGTTCCGTGTAATTTTGTTTCAAATTAAGACATAGGACTTCAAAATAAGACATAGGACTAGGGTACATATGACTTTTATTTGACAATTATGGGCAGATCAATGGAGCCAACTTAAGCTCTGACCCACCCTAAATTAAAAAAAGTAAAAAGTTTTGCAAATTTCTAAAAAATATTCTTTATATCGATCCGACTCAAATCAAATTCACTTAGACCATTCTGAATTGATAAGGATGTTTTCTTTTGGACTGGTCTTGTCTGTTTTGGTTTGGTAAACGTCTGGTCTCTGTACATTTTATAACTATGAAAGTCTGATCTGATTTGTTTAAGTTTGATATGATTTGGTTTGGTCTGTTTAAGTGTCGAATCAGACCCGAAATAGAGATATCTAAGGTAATATACTCGTAGTAGTTGATTAATTACCAGCCAATTGTTGAAGAAAGAGGAGGGAAGGGTGCCGTCCCGTATGCTGTGGATGAAAGGGTGCCTGGTAGCAGCCATGAATAACAGTTTATGTTTCCTCATCCAACATACTGTTATTCTTATTTTGGTCTCGCCCATCGGACTCATCAACGTAAAGTACACTTTTCTCAATGTAATGTTTTTTCCTCCAAAAGATATTACGCAGTACTTCAATTCGTATAATCCAATCTCTTGTGATATATACGAACTACTCCGTATATAAGTACGCTAGAACCATCTTGCAGGCGCTAATTGCTACGTAGCTAGTAATTAAATGGCGTTTGATTTTGAACGATAGGCATTATTGTATGTGACGTGTCGCCAAATCCAAGTTCCACACATCTGCTCGCATGCAATGTGTTGGACAGTGAAGTTATGATCAAAATTGTAATTTTTCTTGCGTGTATCTTTTGAATAGTACTGGGTAGAATATTATAGAGTTATTTAGAATACTCTAGCTCTAGTCAGAAAATGTAGAAATGTTTAGAAATAAGTAGAAGATTGCAGAGACGTGGAGAGCATTGAAATGTGGAGTCATCCAGATTCTTTAAAAGGATCATGAATGCTTATCAAGCCTTCTTGAACGAATCTAGAATATAGAAATGTATGTGAAAGATTGTAATAAAAGTCAATCTCTTTCCCTTTGTAAGGGGGTGTTTGGATCTGATTCTCAAAACTGATTCTGCTCCTTCAGGGAGCAGAAACAGAAGCTGGAGTGTTTGGGTGAAATTCCAGAAACACTTTTGGTGCTCTAATTTACTCCCAGTAATCAGTTTTTTTAGAAGTTGGGGGGTACTAACTTCTGAAAACTTATTCTGATTCTGCTTCTGCTTTAAAAAAGAAGCAGAAGCAGAATCTGTAGTCTTTCATTTCAGGAGTGAAGAATTTTCAACTTGAAAGAGTAAAGTTAGATATCAATAAGAGTTTTCTTAACTTGTGATCCTCAGGTCATAATGTCCTGTTTTCCACAACAAATTTTGTATTTTGTGATTAAAGGTCACTTAAATCACATAAAATCGGCTAAAAAAATTACAATTTGTTGCAAGGGTATTAATCGGCCCATCTCGAAACTGGCGTGTACTTGAATTCCAATCTTGAATTTTTATAATAGTGCACCGATCTCATTCTTAATTACTCCCTCCGTCTCGTAAAGGTTCGCCAAATTGACTTTTCTTAGTCAACGTCAATCAACTTTGACAATGATATTTTTTAATACGAAATTATTTTGAATATGGAAATTATATCAAAATATTCTTTATTCAAAATATTTTCATAAAAGTATATTTTTTTTTGGAACCATAAAATTATAAAATTTAGAAATTATACACAAATATAACAACAAAAATCATTATCCAAAGTTTTTCATTATTGACCAAGAAGAGTCAATATGATGAACCTTTTCAAGATGAAGATAGTATGATAAATTATGCTCCTTGATTAAATAAATAATAATTCATCACGAAACACACTACCCTCAAATCCTCGATATTTTATGACAAGTTAACAACAACTACGATGACTGGCGTTTTAAAAAAAAACTACGATGACCGGCGAGCACTGAGCCACCATTTGAAAATTAGTGCATTGAAAAGTGTCACAACATGCCTGCGCACATGTGGTATAAAAGAGATAGACAAACAAATATTATTAAGAAAAATATCTATTTTCTTATTTCAACAGTTTTATATGTTATTGATAAGGTTTTCTCCAAAATGTCAAGAAGAATGTCTAGATAGACATTTTGGTTGATATTGTTACCAAATTTATACAAAATCGTGAAAAGAAAGAAATACAAATGCTAATGACTATGTTTATCTCTATCATGTCACATGTATGTGGATCATGCACATTGTTGATTTTAGCGGGAAATAATGGCAAAAACGTGACTACCGTCTTCTAGATGGACCAAAATAAGACCTTCTTTTGATTTAGACAAAAACGGGACATAAAATCACTGAAGTGACAAAAATGCCCTCACTTTAAAATGCCTAAACATACCCCAGCCGTTTACCTTTCGTCTGGCTCACATCTCATGCAGCTATGGCTCCAGTCCACTTCGGCAACGACGGTCCTAGACCAGCCTTCAACTCCGACGATGACGGCTCCATACCAGGTTTAAGCTCAGACAGAGATGACGGTTTATGACGGCATGACACGGCGGAGGCTCTTCAGATACAAAGAACGACAGATCTACGCCGCCCTCGCCGTAGATCTTCGTATATGCTATTTCGTCCGCAGCCGCCACAACTCTAATCATCAACATCACCTTCTCCTTCGATCTCCTCCTTCCTCTATTTTCTTCTTTTTCAAATCGCTTGTCGCCGCCCTTGCCGTAGATCTCGATCAGAACAAAGATCAGAGTTGCTGGATGGCTTTTCTCATTCAGATCCGCCCTCGCTGTTGATTGGTAGTTATCGTGGGGTGGGCCATGGTCAGGGCTGGGATTGCACGCCCATCTGCCGCCGCGGCTAGGGTTGTGGGGCTGGGGCAGGGATGCATGCTGGAGGGGGGTGGTGGTGGTGGTCGATGGCCGTGGGCCCGTGGCTGACGGTAGTGGTCGCCGGAGGTGATGGTCACCGGCGGTGGCCGATGGTGTTGGTCACCGGCGGTGGTGGTCACTGGTGGTTGTCAATGTGTGAATGTACGAATCGTATTGGATAACTATTACTCGTAAAATATGGTAATTGTAACTGTAAAACGGTCGAACTGTAACTGTAACTGGTGGGGGCGCGGGTCAGGTAACAGTGACTGATCGGGTCCGATAATTATAACTGGTCGGGTCAGGTAACTGTAACAGATCGGGTCGTGTAACTGTAACTGATCGGGTTGGGTAACTGTAACTTGTCGGGTAACTGTAACTGGACGGACGGTCGTTAGTTATTGGACGGGTAGGCGCCCGTCACTGGACGGGAGAGCGTTGGTCACTACACGGGCAGTCGTTGGTCACTGGACATTGATCATTAGATGGGTGGACATTGGTCACTTTGATATTTGTCACTGTAGGGTTAGTTATTAGTCATTGTGTTAATAGATCAAGTGAAGAGGGTATAATAGTCATCTTATATATTTTTAGTCTCTTTTTTGGAACTTTTAACAAATGGTCTTTTTTTGTCCATAAGTTAATTTTTAGTATTATTTTTGTCCTAACCCCTATTAGCGGCATAAACGCACCGAAAACTCAACCAAACAGATGTTGCTATCAATTTTGTTCTATGAATCTCCTTCAAATATGTATCCACCAGTCCACTACAACGTTATGATTTAGGTTTTGAATTTTCATTTTTATACCACTAAAAATTAAAAGAACAATAAATAATTTCAACATCTTGGATCTAAGGGGCTCCGCCACTATTTTGAACCCACGGGTCCTTTGGTTTTTAGCAATCTTATGGAGTTGTGCTTATTATTTTCTTTTCACATAAAAATAAGGAGGTGATTTTCTAGGCATCTTACTTTATGTTGATTATTTACTCATTATTGAAAATAATTGTGAAAAAAAATACTCATGATTTTTAACTATTTTAACCCACTCTTTCTAGTGAAATACTGAAATGTCACGAGCTTCTCAGACCAGACATAAACAAAGAGTTCATATCATACTTCAACAATTATAAAATACATATAATTTGGACATTAATCAATCCAGATGAGACTAGTTCAAACCGGATTAAAACAAAATATTTTAGTATGCCAATCTTAACTCCTTTCTTTTTATAGTAAAAAGTACATGTTTGGTATCATTTCCCATAAACATACATAAATTTTTGCCACATTACATGTCAATTCAGAAGAGTAAATTACATGGTGCGATATTTGATGAGTAGACACCAATTTCTTGGGTGGCTATTAACTCCTCCCACTATATTGAATAGCTGTAGCAGCAGCCACCAACTTAGCTTGGCAACTCATTTAATGGTTCATGGCATCATTTCACTGCACTAATGCTCTATACCATATTCATATATACTCCTCCATTGATCCCATTTCTATAATCTGCATTCTTCTTCTCATCTTCTCCCATTATCTTTTACGTGTATTGCTAAAGCATAATGATGGGTTCACTGTCATCAGTGACTTCACTGATTTCTCCTTACTCTAATCTCTTCTTAACCTGCTTGCCTTTCTTGGTTTCCGGGTTGATCCTACTGCTTTCAAGGAAATCCAAGTTCAAAAACGGCAAGCGGCCCAATTTGCCTCCCGGACCTCCGGGTTGGCCGGTGGTCGGCAACCTCTTTCAGGTGGCTCGATCTGGGAAGACATTTCTGCAATACGTGAGAGATCTGAAGCCCGAATATGGCCCCATTTTCACTCTCAGAATGGGAACTCGAACCATGGTTATAATCACCAGCGCCGATTTGGCCCACGAAGCTCTCATCCAGAAGGGCCAGATTTTCGCCAACCGGCCCGCTGAAACACCGACCCGGTCCATTTTCAGCAGCAACAAGTTCTCCGTCAACGCCTCCGTCTACGGCCCGGTCTGGCGCTCCCTCCGGAAGAACATGGTGCAGAACATGCTTAGCTCGGCCCGGTTTAAGGAGTTCCGGGACGCCAGAGTGGCCGCCATGGATAGGCTGATCGACAGGATCGGATCCGAGGCTGAATCTAACGGAGGGGCTGTTTGGGTGCTGGCTAATGCCCGATTCGCAGTTTTCTGCATTTTACTCGCAATGTGTTTCGGCATAGAAATGGACGAAAGCACGATTGATGAAGTTGACCGGACGATGAAGGCCGTCCTGATCGTTCTCGCTCCGAGGGTCGACGATTTCCTCCCGATCTTAAGCCCGTTTTTCTCGAAGCAGAGGAAAAGGGTTTTAGAAGTGAGAAAGCATCAATTGGATACAATCGTTCCGTTGATCGAGAAGCGCCGCCGGGCGCTGGAAAATCACGATAAGACGGCGGCGACGTTTTCCTACTTGGACACCCTCTTTGATTTCCACGCCGATGGTAAGAAATCCGCGCCGACGAACGCGGAGCTCGTGACCCTCGTCTCCGAGTTCCTCAACGGCGGCACCGACACGACGGCGACGGCGGTGGAGTGGGCTGTGGCGAGGCTGATTGAGAATCCATCTTTACAATCCAAGCTGTACCAGGAAATCAAAAATCAGGTCGGGAATCGGAAGGTAGACGAGAAGGATATAGAGAAGATGCCGTACTTAAACGCCGTCGTAAAGGAGGTTTTACGAAAACACCCTCCGACCTTCTTCGCGCTGACCCATGCGGTGACCGAACCGACTCAACTGGGCGGGTACGATATACCCGTGGATTGCAATGTGGAGTTCTTCTTGCCCGCTATATCGGAGGATCCGAAGATATGGTCCGACCCGGAGAAGTTTGACCCGGATAGATTCGTCTCCGGCGAGGAGGACGCCGATATTACCGGGGTAACCGGAGTGAAGATGATGCCTTTCGGCGTTGGGCGGAGAATTTGCCCCGGGTTGGGTATGGCGACGGTGCACGTGAATTTGATGCTGGCCCGGATGGTTCAAGAATTCGAATGGTCCGTTTACCCGGAAAACACTAAGGTGGATCTAAGTGATAAGTTTGAGTTCACGGTCGTTTTGAAGAATCCTCTTAGAGCCCAAGTCAAACCTAGAGAGTGCAAGCCATGCTGATTAGAGTAATAATATTTTTTTTTTTTTAAATTTATCATATCCATAAATTCAATATAAATAAAAACTAATTTCATCGTTTATATACTATCGTATTTCATTTCTGAAAACAATGTAAAATTACACTTATAGATTTATTTATCCATTAAAGCTATACGGAGTAGAATCATTTCAAAGTTATCCTTGGAGATAGTAGAAGGGTTTGTTTGCAACAGCTTCTGCTTTTAAAAAAGTGTTTTTTTTAATGAAATGGGGAGAAATGATTAAATAAAAGTTGATAGTGTTTGAGAAAAAAATAATTTTGAAAAGTAAAAGTGGGTAGTGTTTGGTAAAACAAGTGCTTTTTGTGTAATAGAAAAAGTAAAAGAACTTTTTACGCGGAAGCCGAGAAAAATAAAAGTTGTAGTGTTTGGGAAAATAAGTGCTTTTTTAAAGCTAAAAGCTAAGAAATGCTTTTTTAAAAGCAATTGCAAACTAACCCGAAGAGATTGGTGTGACATTTCTTGTTAAATTTTTCCTATAAACATATGTGAAATTGTGAAAGTTTCTTGCCTTCTTAGAGCATCTTTAGTGGTAGGCTTTCAACATTAAAAAAATTGTGACACATGGCAATAAATGTATGGAATGTTTAGCCATGTAGGATGAATGTCAATACCTAAACTCCTAAAGAAGCAAAATGCTCTCCAATACATTCCGTTGATGTCTAGTAGTTTTCTAAGTGGAATATATTTAATTCAAATTAATAAATGGAAAAGTAAATAAGAAATAGCAGTTATGCTTCACGTTTTGTTGAGTCATGCTGTGGAGGGGACTGTCGAGAGACAACATTCATGTGTACACTGTCTAATTTATTTTTGAACAAGTCAGCATCACATGAGGATTAACATAGTGCATTGGAGATTAAAAGATCACCGTAATGTTAACGAAGGATGACATGTCAATTTTTTTTAATGTTAACGATGTGTGACTGCGGATGCTCTTAGTCATGTTTCACTTTTCCTTGGTCATGTAGCTGCCCCTTATTTATCCACGTTCTTGTATTATGTACACATACATGTCAACAAAGTATTTTTATGCCTCCCAAATCTTAGTGAAACTCGACATATGTGAAAATAATAAAGTAAAAAATGTATTACTTCCGTCCCAATTTGATATTCTCAGTTCCTATTTACGCAGTCAACACAAATCACTCTTAATCTCTTACTTTATATATCAATTTTTTTTTCAAATTTGATTTATGTGTTTGCGACTTTGTAAAGATTTTAATGTAGTTTCTGAATATGTAATTTTTTTTCTAAAAATAGTTTGAGTGCGAACAGGGGTCTCTCTGCTTTATCATCGGTCAAGTATCGTAAAGCACAACAGGAACATCAAATTGGGACAGAGAGAGTACCATTTAGATTTGTACAAAAGAAGAGATAAATAATTTAATCACATAATCAATATTTCAAAAAAAATGATATATCTTTTGAAGCGGTTGAAAAGGGAAAATTGGTGAAATTTAATGGGACAAAAGTATATACTACTCCCTCCGTCCCATTTTTATTTAATAAGAGTGGCAGTTACACTTTTAATAGCGCCTATGATCCTATTCGGTCTAAAAATAACTTGATCCAGTCTGCCAAGTTTGTTTGGAATAACAGGACGCCAAAAAAATTTCTTTTTTCATGTGGAGACTCCATAACCAAATTCTTCATTTTGAGGAAAATCTTAAAATCATGGGTATTCATGGCCCTTTCAAATGCCCTTTCTGTAATAACAATGATACCATAAACCATTTCTTCTTAACTTGCAATTTCAGTAGACAGATTTGGAAATACTTTGAAAATATCACTGATTATTGCCCCCCTGTCCAAGGAACTTTCAAAACTTACTTGAACTACTGGTATAGTGATTTCAAGTCCCCTATCACTGATTTAAATTATGTTTGGCATCTTTGGAAGTCCTGAAATGCCTTTCTTTATGATGAGAAAATAGCCCGCATATATGAGGTTATAAATGCTATTAAAAATGAGATATTTGCCACCTCTGTGGTAAAACCGTATATCAGCTATGGGACTAGTAAGCCCTTTCTTATCCAAACCATCATCCCTAAGAAACCAAGAGGCCTGATACCAACTGCTGGATTATCGATTAAGATCAATATTGCATACCGCATTATTAATACTAATCATGCCTGCGGTATTGCTCTGATTAGAAATCACTTTGATCATTACATTCCTCACCACACCAATTTTTATAGTCATAATAATGTTAACATGGGCGTTTTGGATGCAGTTGTTACAATTCTTCCTCATTTACAGCAGCTTAACTTACTGAATGTGGATTTCGAGGTGGATAATCAAGACATCTATGACGGCATAATTGGGCATAAACTACAGCATTGGGAGCTCTGGTCAAGCTAGATTCCGCACAATCAAGAAAACTTTCAAGAACAACCCCACAACTTGATTCATTTGTTGTACCTCGACAACATTCTTCCAATGGATTCTTAAATCTTGATATACCTACAGGAGTAAAAATAATCTCAAATTTCAAAGTAGCAGCGCACAAATCTGGGACGGCGATGAAGATGGCGGAGGTCGAAGACGTAGGGAAAGCTTTGGGACGATCTGCACGGCTCATTTGCCATGCCTCGTTTGACAGATTTGGACGGCGGCGCACAGATCTGCACGGCTCGTTTGTCACACTAAAGACGTAGAGGAAGTTTGGGACGACGAGGGCGAGCAGCGGCTGAACGGTGGGCAACAGATCTACGTCGGGTGGCGCCTTGGCACCCAGGTCATATTGAATAGTGATGAAATTATAATAACCAATCATAATAGTGGTAAAAAACAATAAATGGTGTCACCGTGTCATAACATATGTGATACACCATACTATATATACTGTTCACATAGACGTTCATTTTCATGGTTATAGTTACAATAAATTTATACACTGCCCAAGGCTGGAGTTCTAGGTCGGCAACTGTGTTCTGGGTTTGCGATTGTGCTCCCAGGTCGAAGTTCTGTAGAAGATGGCAACGCTGGACAGTGGGCGGTGGCTAGACGGCGGGCGACGGTTGGAAAGCGGGGTGGCTGCTCGGGTGGGCGTTGGGAGGTTTTTGCTAGGGTTGAAGAAAATTGGTAGGAGGTTAGGGTGTTATATGTATAAGGTAAAGGGTATATTTAGCCATAAAAATTACTACATATTTTTTTTGAAAGAAAAGCTGCTTATATTAATCAATCAAACTTGTCAAAAACGTACCTCCCCTTACAAAACCAGACTCCTCAATCAAAACAGTAACACCCCACCCGGCCCGGCCCCGCCGACCCGATCGGCGCGTCACTTAGCGGAAAAACCGGAACAGATTTAATCAAAAATACTTTTCGTGATTCAAGAAAATAATGCCCTTTTTTATTTTTTTTCTTTAAACGCAAAACATTTAATAAGAGATTTTATTACTTCAAATAAAGTGTATTAATCTCAAAACAATTTCATTACTAAATATCAGAAAATGTCAAACTCACACGGAGTAGAGTATTATTAAAACAGACATAACTTAAACATCATAAAACACTTCAAGGAGTGCAGCGGAAGTTCCTCAAATCACATATGACATATTAAAGTCCTTTATTAAAAAAATCACCAAATAACATGGCATGCAAATGCGCCCTACGCCTCTTTCCATCCTCTTGCTCCTAGCGGGTTCCGTGCTCAACCTACGGGTAGGAAAACACACAACTACCCGCTCAGCAATGTGCTGAGTGGTACGGTAATAACATAACAATAATATTAACATATCAAAGAACATATTAATATATCATAATTCACATCTGATCAGACAAACATATAACAAACCTGGGTGAACCGAGCATCTATTCTAAAAATACAGATATTTACATACAGAATAGAATCATACTCAGATATCATAAATGTCAGATAATTTTATTCTGAGATAATTATTATATTCTTCTTGTGTACAGAAGAAAAGCATATTCAGATATCATAATTATCAGATAAATCTTATTCTGAAACTTATCATTGAAAAATACATATTCATTTAGCCTTGAACTCTAGAATCTGGACCTAGACCGGGGAATACTAACAGTAAGGAATACGGTCGATCGAAGTCCGTACCCACATTACCCAGAAGGAATATGGAAACGTAATCGCCGGAGCTACACGTACCAATCCCCGACAGAAGCTAGCTGAACAGAAAGGACGAGATCACCGAAGAGACCCGAACCTTAACAGGAGAGTAAAAGTGCTCTAAAAATATTTCAGGAGTGTACGAAGTACACTAAACAGGAGAGCACTATTTCCTCTAAACAGAATTTCAGGAGTGTACATAGTACACTAAACAAAACAGGAGTATCCTAGTCAGAGTACCGGACCAAGAGTAAGGCTTTTAGGAAACGTAATATTTTAACTTATCAGTATGCGATTAGTCGTATGCAGTTTGGGAGTTCATGATATCATATTTAAATTTCACTTATATAGAAACAAAATATGACCGCAAGTAAAATATATCATATAAATGTCTTCGGATCCATAAAACTTCCATACCACAATTAATCAAAGTCATATTACATGCATGTTATATTCACATATAGATATACATACGTAAATACGTAAAAAATATTTTCATGTATGTCAAAGAATATACATTTTAAATCTGCTATTCCGTAAATACTCAATTATATATAAATTAAAACACGGGGTCATTCTTAATAAAATCACATGTCCGTATAATTAAATATGTAAAAAAAATATAACCTTGCATATAATACTCCGTAACATTTATCTGGAACTTATAGCACTTAATAACTGAAATTTATTTTTAAGTTATACTAAATAGTACGTGCATAAATTTATCCTTCCAAGCTTTAATTAAGAGTTCATGAAAATAAAGTGCATAGCCTTTTAAATTATCCTAGAAGTTTATGAGTATATACATGTAAATGTAAACACCGAAATTCATGCAATAGGATGTTATCCAAATGCATTTTTAATTATCAAACACAATTGAGCCTTGTATTTAACTCTACCGTGTTTTTATATTTATTGATAAAGTGCTATATTCTTTAATAAAAATAATAGAGGTTATTAACTAAAAGTAACCTATTTGTTTAAGCTATATAGTCATTTCTCCCTGAAAATGAGCATCGTTTTAATTAACATATTATTTTTTTTAAAAAAAATAATCGTAACAAAGCAAATCATTAAGTAATACTAAATAATTAAAAATAGCATACTTAAAAATAACATACTTAAATAACATACTTAAAAATAATTAACATATACATCAAACTAAGACTTGAGCGGAAATTAATAATAAAACAGTAACACTAAATAATACGTACGTATAGCACTACTTCGTAACGAGTTATATATAATAATTCGGTAACAACTCATTAAGTAATACTTGCATGCATATCTATCCTATTATAACTTATAATCCATATAGTCATGTATCATGAAACCGTGGTAATTGATCTAACCGTTAATTTTAACTTAATTTTCTTCTTAAATTCACAACTATACTTAGTCCTAGATGACATCCATATTGCTAAAAAAAATATGTAATTACTATCAGATACAATTACGTAATCATAATCAATAGTTATAAGTAAAAAAACATTTTTAGAGCATACAAAGAACTAAGGCTAGCTATATGGTTTTCATCGTCCCCATAACATAACCGGAAACAGGGACGGAAATTATACTAAAATGGGACGGAAGCGTACTAACCTTATAGAAAAGAACTTATACGAAATAACTAGGTTGGGAGCTCCTCTTTGCCGCACCGATTCTTCAACATAGCTAGCTACTAGTCTCTTTCTATATTTTTGTTTATTTACGAGTATATATATTTTTACCCGGCCACTTACGAAGAGCAAGCGAAAAGTTTTTGAATAGGTTGTGTATAAGTCTATGGCTACCTATAAATGCTAGCACTTTGAACGCGAATGAAGCCAAGTTAGTGCTACGCTCCAGCCCTCATCACATGCTTATGACACGTATATAAGGGGTATTGTGAGGCTTCCATGTGGAGATTGACATGCATATTATGACAATATATGTCTGATCGATCATATAAATGCATGGCAAGTTAGGTCTCCAAGTGTAATTTTCCATGCAGGTTAGGACAACCTGTTATACGTATAGCACAGGGGTAAGATTTTCATTTGAAGCCAAGTGGGTGGGTCATGATCAGAAGGTTTTGTTTGAGTTACTATACTTCAAATTATGTAGCAGTACCTACCACTCATTTTGAACAGGATTGCTTTTGATCCCAAAATTTGATTACGAAGTGTCCTAAAATGTCACACTTACATTTTACTTTTATTTAGTTTCTATTTTAATTATTATTATTATTCATTGTCTAGTTAATAATAATTCAACGGATAGGAATTTATAAGAAGGATTATTAATTCAATATTAGGTTACCGGCTAGACCCGGTTTCGGGGTATTACAAAAACTCTAAGAGTACTTCCTCCCTTGCAACGCCAAACCTCCTCGTGAGGTTCCGCATAGCCCAGAGGCCCTCCCACTCTCTGGTTAGACTTAGAACAGACCACCCCAAAAAGAGCGAGACTATTCGCGAACCATGTGAGAGTTTCGAAGCTTTTAGCGGCCAAACAAGCCTTATCGCTTCCACCCAAATTAACAACCCAAACCGAGCAAGAAAAAACCATCCCCAACCTACCACTAGAGTACAAAACAAAGAGTAAAGCAACATAAGTAAAATCATAGGAAAGACAACAAACAAAACTATACTCCTCATGGCTATCTGCCTTATTCAACTCCAGAAGCTGCCGACACGGAATCCACTCTTCAATTGGTGTCCCCGAATCGCTAGATACCAAAATTTTTGTGGCGGCGGTTCAGGAGGGGGGCGAATCGTCTGCAAATTGTTTGCTTCCTCCTCCGCCTTAGACGGCCATAATTCACCTTCTTTAATCGGGATTCCTACCGCCGTCATTCCACCCGGATCAAATATAGCTGGTACACCTCCCACCCCATGAGTCCCCACCAAAACCACCAAGGCCAATCCTAGCATCGGAAGCGCAGTCCTTGATCTCGACCCAGGGTCATGATTGCCTTCAACACGGACGAACTCCATTGGCGCTGCTGCTAGGAACCCGACTTCCAAATTCCAACCCCTGTGTGCTGCTTCCGTCTACGATCCGCCCCAACAATAGAATTCCCAGAGCCTGGCCGTCCCACCGATCAATCCCTAGTGGATCTGCCGCGTGCTTCACCAAACCCCCACCGATCTCAGTCTCTGATCATGAACGCACAAGTGGACGAACCCAGTACCGTAGAACTACCGTGGCAGAAAGCTGCGTGAAGAGAGCTTCGCTGCCAAATCGAAACAATATCCTGTTGCTAGGTCCCTTCCGCTTCTCTAAGCACCTTATGACCTGAAGATCCCTGGAAACGCTGTTCAAAGCTAGTCGATCGATCGTCAAAAGCGGAGCCGATCTACCCAAACCCTAGCGAGAAAACGCTAGCCCGTCCACCCTTACAAATCCATTTATTACTACGTATTTATTAATTAGGAATTTTAATTAAATATTATGAATATGTATATTATTTTGAGGAAAAAAATAGTTAGGTCATAGATTGAGAAACTCATTGGGTTTTAGTCATACCTAGGGTAATTATCTCTAAAATATATGTTTCAACAAATTGTTTGAATATTTATTATAGAAATAATAATTATTTTGCAATGGTTGTAATTTTTTTAATTATTATTATAATAATTTTAGTAGTATAACAACAATATTGAAGATAATAAAAGTCAAAATTATATGTTTGTATATTGACCCGCAGGCTAACCCGTGTCAGCCAACCCACACAAACCCACAATCCGCGTGAGTTGACCCGTGAAAATCGTGAACTAAATGGGTCAGAAAATCACAATTATAACTCACCAATAAATGTGTTTAAACGCAATCGCCAATTTCTGCGGCTCTTCATTCAAATCCTCGAGGAAAAATAGTGGTCGAAAAGGTTGGATTTTCATAATTTTGGACTCATGTACGTGGTTTTTTATAAGTCGATCTTTTGTCTGGGCTATTCACTCGAATAATATGGAATCCTCTTCTTGAATTTCCATAACCACCAGTCCACCATGCATTGTAGTGGGTTACTGGGTTAGTGTTAATGAATCATGTGTTATCAAACACAATAACTTGTTTATAGTAATGGGAAGACATTTTCTCTTTTAATTTTGAGATATTTTTTTATATAACATTTAAGATGTTTTTACATGGATTGTTTTCAATCACAGACCAGATCAGATCAGACGAAACCAGATCGGATTTGGATAGTTATAATAAAATACGCAGAGACTAAACATTTATCAGACCAAACCAAATCAAACCAAATCGACTAGATTAGACCAAGTCAGATCAAATCATCCCAAATCAATAGATTTAGGTCCAAATATAAACATCCTTAACATTAAACATATCATCCAATCTAATAGTGGCCTTGAATCATGAAAGCAATATGATCCCATCTAATTTAATTGTATACAAGAAATTACTGCAAATCAGGAAAAAAAACAATGCCAAATTTAATAATAGTAGTACACCAGTGGAAAGTCTTAAATTTCCAAGATATGAGCTACTATTACCTTTCTACCCCTCATACTATTTTATCAATGCCCAAAACCGATTTTTTCCAATAAAATATCAGATTCATTTGACATTTAATCCACCTAAGCATTATCATTGCCTTTTTTTTAGCCGGCAAGCAAATAACCGATCAGTGAGGTGAATGCAGGGGAACATTCATCATATTTTATTAAAATAAAATATATTACACAAAACGGTGAGTGAGACTAGACCAAAACCCATCAGATAAAACAAACCTTCTCGAAAAATGAGAAAAGAAAATCAAACAAAATTTGGGCCCAAAACAAACCCAATCACGTACTCAATGAATAATCACTTTATTCATTTTATTCATTAAATTTCAATTCAATATTAACAACAATGACTCATGCATAAATAGAAACTACTTGTGTCGGAGACAACTTAAAATAGCTTTGAAAACAAGGAATACAAAAACCACACATACTTGCTTTTTGTGGGAGTCGAACTTCAACTGCATAAAATATAGAGTGAAGATCTTATTGATTATAATGCTTAGAATAATTGCGTGAATGGTTTAAGCATGCTCCAAAGTGACACCTAAATAGCTGCATATGATGGTTGGCCACGAGGGAAGAGAAGAGTGTTGAGGGAAGATGTCAAGTTTGGAAATACATAAATCCATCCAGCTTGGGTAGGATGCATTTGATCCCAAAAGAATGACCCTTTTGGATTCTTACACACAGTATATTCATTTGCTCCATCTTCACCAACGACCCCACAACTTGATTCATTTGTTGTACCTCGACAACATTCTACCAATGGATTCTCAAATCTTGGTATACCTACAACCCAACATCATGTAAGTCTTCAGTTTTCCCTCTCTTTTACATACTAGTATATGTATTTAGAAGAATTTCTCAAAATAGGAGTAAAAATAATCTCAAGTTCCAAAACAGAAATACTATGTTTCCCATATAAATTTGGAGTAAATTATTATCATCTGAAATCATATTGTCATATTCTGACATTACTAAACATTCATTTGTCATATTCTGACATTACTAGACATTCATTCTGACCTATTAAGTATCGAAACTTCGTTCTAAAATATTACTACCTAATATAAAAGAGAATAATGCCAGACCTTAAATGTGACTTATACTTAAATGTTTCATTCATACGTGATTTCATAGCAAAAGTAGATAATACATTCTCATATGAAATCAATAAAATTTTGGACTGATTGTTTTTTAAAGAAATCATATTTGACTCTCATAGAGCTATAGACTTTAGAAGTGTTTGTGATTGATTCTAATTTGACAAATTGATTTTAAATCTAATTTTAGACATAACACTTAATAATAAGAGTTAGTAGTGTTTGAGAAAAAAGTGATTTTGTAAAACAAAAATGGATTATATTTGGTAAAAAATTGTGTAACAGAAAAAGTGAAAATAGTTCAAAACACCCTTGCACTTGGTTTTATCCTTTAAGTTTAAAGTGTTTAATTTTAGAATAAGTTGTTACTAACGCTAATTTTGGCTTTTTAAAAGAAAAAGCTGCGAAATCGTTAATCTTTTGCACACTCTTTTATTTTTACAGTGGGGACACCCTATTAAGAAAGTGAGTGATAATAATGAAAAATAAACCGTATGAATTATTCCCGTAACAATGACAATGTACTCCATTATTTTGAAATTTGTATGTTTTATCAAACAACTCTCCTCAAGTTTCATCAAACGAACTCTGTTTCTAGTACACTTCATTTTCAAACAAACAAAAAATGAGTGCTCTCAAATCTCAATACATATTCTCAAACGACACAAAAATGTCAAATCTCGATGATATTTTCAAATAGGTTTATTTGGTGAAACATGGTAAAAATCAAAACTTTGTTCATGGCAAGAGAATTCAAATCACCTGGAGGGCTATCCTGAACATTAAAGGCAGCCATAAATTCAGAGTAGAGATCAAGAATCACATAAGTGGATCGATCAGCAGCAATTTCATTGTTTAGTTTCTCCACAGCTTCCTTTAACAAGTCATTGTGGAACGTCGAAACTGAATTAAGTGAGTCGTTGCACATCTTATATGAAGTAACGGTGGGAAAACATCCAAATGGTGGCACAGCAATCACACTTATCCTCCCAACTCCAAGTTCATATATGCGTCTGAGATTCAACACCAGTTGACTCACCACTGATTGAGTAAAAGCAGTTAAATTCTACACATTAAGATACATTCCATGTTAGATTTTTCGAATAATACAAACATACTTGAAGAGAAAGAAAAGATACACTCAAATAATGTTTGGGGTAGCAAGTGAATCTAGTCTAGCTAAAAGAAGCAAAGAAAATTAAATGATAGATAAGTGAGATAGTTGGGTTAAGGTTTCTGGTTCAATCCTGACAATGGCACAATAGTTGAGTGAGGTAGAATTGGCATGGGTTAGGGTCTCTGGTCCCATCCTGACAATGGGAATGTGAAAGTCTCATGTATTGTGATGACCTCTTATGCGCATCGATCGTACCATAAACTACCAATTTGTAATCATATGTAACACGCGTGAAAGTACAGTAAAAGTTATGTGCGTGGTGAAAAGTTGGGAGCCGAGAAATAGGGTATGTTTGGCACAACTAGCTAAAAAGTTACTTTTACTGACTGTTTAGTAACTGTTAGCTTTTAGTAACTGAAAAGATCTTAAAAGTAAAAGGTAGTAACTGTTAGGGAAAAAGTTGACTGTTTGGTTTAGTTCTGTTTGGTACGGAAGCTGTTGGGACTAATTAATGCTAAAAGTCACAGACTTTTTTCAGATGCTACCACCTGTAGCATCTCAAAAAAGAGCTTTTTATTTTTTGAAAAGCTCTTATAATTGTCATACCAAACATACAACTAGGAGCTTTTAGAGACTTTTTAAATAATACAAAAACTAGAAGGCATGGACTTTTGGATGCCAAACATAGCCATACGATTGCCAAACGCTACTTACCTTTTGTGGATCATCATTGAAATCGAAAGTGGTGTAGTCGTTGCCGGCGAGCGACACATGAGCAAAAGAGTTGGTCAATTCCTGTTTGGTGTAGACACGTCGTTCAATGAGTTGTTCGAAATCATTTATTTGAGTGGTCATATTCGGCCCTTCAAGGTATGTGGTGAAAACACCCGTCCCTCCATACGCAAAATTCAGTCCATTCTTGTGTAGATTTGTACCACCAAGTTTCCATCTTCTGTAGGGTACTGGAGATTTGATTCCCATGTACCTAGCTGATTATCATACTCATATTATTTACGGAGCAGTACGCAGTATTACGTAATAAAAATTTACTCCATATATGTTAATTTGTAATATCCCCGTCCCAAAAAACTTTGCATTTTCAAAACTTTGATCAATTATATTTTGGGTTTTTTACAAGAATATTACTAAAATGAAACTTATTTACATAAATGTGACTATTCATTACTACAACTTAGTGTTGTGGTAACTTAAGTTCAAAACTTGAACATGAATTACTATGATTTCATTACTACTCTAGTAACTAGTCATATACGGAGTATTTTTTTATTGGAAATTATTTATAATATAAAAATTATATGAAAATGTTCTTTCTTAAAACTACTTTCATAAAAGTATAAAATTATTAACTTCCATGATATTATACTAATTAAATTCATGGTTCAATTTTTTTTATGGCTGACATAACATGATACACACATAACATTTAGAGCCCGTTTGGTAGCACGAAATCGGCTGATTTGACTGATTGTGCTGAAATTTATGAAGTTCTGGCTGAAGTGACTGCATTGGCTGATTCTGCTGATTTAAGACAAAATTATTTTAAAAATATATTTTACTAATAAAATAAAGAAAAAACTATATGTAAAAAAAGCTGAAATGATCACCTACAGTAACTTCAGCCAATACTCCAGAAAAGTAACTTCAACCTTACTTTTTCTACTTATTACACAATTTAGCGCGTGAAAGCAAAAGTTACATGTTTGGTGAAAAAGTTGACTGATAAGTTTGATAAACCGAAAAACGGTGTTGCCAAAAAAACATGCTAGTTGAACCAAAGTTTAAGGAAGTACCTGTTTTCGTTCAAAAAAAGGGAAGTACCTGTTTTGTTCATCTATACATGAAGAAATTGAAAGAAAGAAAAGACACACTCGTAACATACTCATTTATGTTACATTTTGTTTTAGACGCTACAAAATGATTTTTTTCATCCTTCTAATATACACTATTTTCTTTCAAATCCTTCTCTATCCCCGAAACAAATTCTACTTCCAAACTTTTAAACTTATAAACCTTTAAATAATTTTATTTTCTATGGTGTCATCAAAATAAATTTTCAAACATGAGTAATTGGTTTTACTTTATTTTAATTTTATTGATGTTTTTGCTTAGATTGAATTTTTTTGATTTAGTCTGCTCTGTTTAAGTTTCAGTCTCGAATAGACCAGATTAAACTAAAACAAGTCAGATCAAATATGTCCAAACTTAACCAGAAGAGATTTAAACATATCAGATCGTACCAAACCAGATTCCAGTAGTTGTAGAATAAGCAGAGATCACACGTCTACCAGACCAAACATAAATAGAGCACATTAAATCAAAAAAATTCAATCTAAGTAAAAACATCTTTAAAATTAAAATAAAGTAAAACTAATTACCCATGTTTGAAAATTTATTTCGATGACACCATAGAAAATAAAATTATTTATGTTTAGAATGATCGATGTGATAAAAAAAAGGTGTGAAATTTATAATTAAGATTGTTCTTTGGTGACATTAAAATCGACCTAATCAAATGATTACGTTGAAATTTATGAAATTCTGATTGAAGTGACTGTATTGGATGATTCCGCGTAATCGTAAAAAATTATACTCCGTACTCTGTATTTAAAGTAAATTTCATTAATAAATATATGGAATGAATTATATGAAAAACAATTAAAATGAGGAGTAAATTTAAACAATCTGTTCAGAAAAATAACTATAATCTTAGATTATTACATAACTCTGCGCATGAAGACAGGTATATGCAAAAAAAAGGGGGGATCACCGATGGAACTCTTTATTCTCAAAAGCAGTTTGGACGACTAAAATGATCTGCACAATAAATTGTAGATGCGAAAATAAAATAAAAAATTGGAGAGACGTACATATTTAAGCCATAAACACAATGAGGTAACTATAATTGGGGAAGTAAAGAATGCCGGACCTATAAAATCAGTAAGGACGCGACCGTTGGAGAATCTGCCGGAAGGTCTACCGGGGAAAGTGACGCCGTACGGTTCGTTCCAACAGACGGCGGTATATGGGTTGTTGCCAGTATCAGCATAAGAGTCTCCGAAAACGAACAGCTTCGTAGGGGATGAGGATACCTCAATCTTCTCACCATTGTGCACTTCTGCAATTATATATTATCAGTAGGGGAAAGGTTAATTATACCGAGCTATGTAGCACGGAAACTCTCGAGAAAGACCACGTTTTTGTTTCGCAAAACTCTATATAAATTCTGTGGAAACTCTCCAAACAATTTTTTTTGGACAAAAATTGATTCACGTTTCCTCGTGACTTTCGTGTTTCCGTGCAACATAGATAAGGAGTAATCTATTACGTTGTGAAATAGAGGAAGGAAATCAGGAATGGAGGTAGAAATGTTGATTGATTTCTCCGACCTGGAAGAAGAGTCAAAAGACATAAGAAGAAGAAGGCTGAACTCAATCTTGCTTTCTGCTCCATGATAAGTGGATCGTGGGAGCATGTCTCTTTTATAATTTTATATACATCAGTCATACTGTCATAGTACCATGAATCCGTATATCCAAAATGTTTCATAAAGTCCGTCCAAAAAAACGTGTTTCATAAAGTGTTTTGCATTGGTCCGAGCCTGAGAGGCGTTGTTTCATGTAAGATGATCGAATGGGACGAAACACCCCACCTACTTTTTCGGTTGCATAATTGGATACAGAACTCTCATTTGATGGAAAATATATCAACATAAATACTACTAATAGCCTAATACGTAGTATTAAATTAGCAATGATTTGTATTTTTGGAAACTCTCTTTATTATAAATATACGAAGTACGAAGTATAATATTTCACAAAGTGTTTCCCTATTGGATAACTTTTCCCATTATTTCACATGGTTTCAAGAGCCTAATTTTTTTCTCTCTCCCCAAACCCTCGATCGACACTATGAGCTCGGCCGATTCTTCTGGCGACGTCCACCATATCCTCCTCAACTACGGTGCCAGTTTCTTCTATCACACTGACGTTGTCGTAGTCATCACCAGCGCCGCTACACCCTCGACAGCGCCGCAACAGGTATTTCCCTCTCAACCAGCATCGGCATTTCAAACGGACTCCGCTCCATTCGTTGCAGATATTCCTGGGGCTTATTCTCTATTTCAGCAAATTCCTCCGCTGCACCGTGGCAGCCCCCTGCCATAACCGAATCACATGGCTTCTTCTCTACTCCTATGCCAACCGCAAACCCTCAGCCACGCCCAAGTCCGGGGTACTTTGGTTCCACTTTTTCCGGTGCACCTAGACTGTCTAGACTGGCGGACTCTTCACTGTTCCAGTCCCCAATGGCTGCCGTTGCACAGCCCCTCTCTCCAATCTCAAACGTTACTCAAATTGTCACAATCAAGCTCAAGGCGGTTGAAGACTACATCACATGGCGCACCCAGTTTGAGTCTTTTCTAGTATCTCAAGGTTTGTGTAGCTTCCCGGATGGTTCCACACAGGTACCTCCGATGTACACGGTTGATTTTAATAATCGCCAAATCATTAATACTGATTATTACCATTGGTTACGGGTTGATCAAACCAGGGCCGGCCCAAGGTAGGTGCACCCAGCCCGATCGCACAGGGCCCTTTAATTTGGAAGGCCCAAAAAAAAAATTATTACTAGTATTACTCGGCGTCTCAGCCTAAGATGGCAAGAACCGATCTAATCTTTGAACGGCGAAAGCAAATAGGAACGAACTATTGAAAGGAACGAAGGGAGTTAGGGAACCGGCTAAACAGCTAGCCCAATATGCCGACTGCCAAAGTAGGAACTCGAAAGCTTGAAAGTTGGAACGAACTGCTAAGGTCGAAGCTTCGAAGGGGTTCACCGGAATCTCCGCCACTCGCTAGCAAGAGCCAAGTTGAAGTCTGGACACTGCACTTCGAAGCAGTGACGCCCGCCTCCAGCTCCAGCCTCCAAGATTCAAGACGCAGAGACCGAGACGTTAGCAAGGGCCAGATTCTGTCGCACCATTGCACCAGACACCAGTCCTGTAACTCGGTAAGCACTGCAGCTGTATAATCATTAATCAGTATATGATTTTCTTGTTTGTTTGATGCTTGGAATTGCAGATTAGTGAAATCTATTTACTCTGTGTTCATTTTGTTGCTTTTTTGTGTTATTGTTGTTTGCTTATTTATTGGAATGATTTATTAGTTATTAAGTAATTGAATTGAAAATAATTGTGTTTAAAAATTATTCAATTAATTAAGAATTTGAATAATGTAAATTTAATTTTAACCTAAATTTTTTAAACATGACAGGATTAGGGGAGAACTTGAGTAATTGGTATTTGGTAGTCATTATGGGACCAAAGAGATTGACATTGCAAGTTTGGAAGACGACTTTGCCTCTAAATATGCTAGAAGAATGTCTCTTTTCAAATGAAAGGTATTTTATTAATGACTACTTTCATTTTTATTTTTATGTTCATTAGTAATTTGTATTTTAATCAAATCACTTGTGTTTGGAACATGAAAAAAAGGCCCAATTTTTTTCGTTGCACAGGGCCTCCAAATTCTCAGGACTGGCCCTGGATCAAACAATTCGTTCCTAGATTTTTGCTACCCTCACTCGTGATGTATTAATTGATGTACATGAACTTAAACATGCTTTTGAGATTTGGCCCATTTGGGAAAGACTACAAAATCGTTTTCGTTCTGCTAGTTTGGCTCGATCCATGGCACTTAAGCGTAACTTGACAAATATGAAAAAGAAGGAAAATCAATCTATGGAAAATTATCTGCGGGAAATTCAATATTTAGTTGGTGAATTAGCCGCAATAAATTCTCCGGTGCCCCACAAAGACATTCTTCAAATCACTCTAATAGGGCTTGGACCGGAATATGAGTCTACTATGGGAACTATTTCCCTTTTCCGGATAATTTTCCGCCAGATAATCTTCATCGGAGCCTATTAGAAGCTTAACAGTGGGTCCTCTTTCTTCGCCAACAGTCCGCGCCCCCTGCCTACCAAGTCTTCAGTGTTCTAGAACGTGGACCTGCACAACGTGGTGGCGGTCGGGGTGGCCGCGGCAGAGCTAGACGCGGCAGAGGCCGCGGATACCAAAACTATGGCCAGCAGTTCCAGCAACCACCTTACGGCCAGGAACAGCAACCACCTCTCGGCCAGGGACAACAGGCAGCTCACGGTCAGCCGCAGCAACCAGGACAGCATGGGAACCACCAGGGCTTCGGCCAACAGCTTGGAGGGCATCCACCAAGACCTCTAAATGCAGGTTATATGAGTAATTCGGTTTTGTCAACTTTAAATGTTGTTGCTATATCATTTTGTGGTACTAATGTCATGTCTGCGGGCTCTTCATCTGTTGATGGAATTCTTGGGGCAATTCCCCCTCCCGTTGTGTCAAATCTGTTTTTCTGCAGGTCACTCTGCAATCAGCTGTCCTTCCCGATTTTCTCCGAATCTCCATCCTCTGCACCCGTACTTCTCACTGGTTAAGCTAGTGAAGCTCTGTGGTATCCAGATACTGATGCCTCTGCTCATATGACTTCCTCTGAAGGTATTTTGACAAATAAATCTATTTATTCAGGTCCAGTTATTGTTGGTGTTGCTAATGGTGCTCAACTTCCTATAAAACATGTTGGTGATATTTCTCTAAATTCCCCTGGCCGCCCGCTGCTATTAAAATCTGTTTATCATGTGCCTAAAATTAAATTCAATCTAATTTCAATTCAAAAATTGTGTGCTGGTAACAACTGTGTTGCTATTTTTGACAAAAATTCCTTTTTTTGTAAAGGACAAAACTTCGGGGGCGGTTCCTCTTCAGGCAACAACTAACGGCCATCTCTACCCTTTCAGCCTGCGTCCAAGAACTAGCATAGCTTTATCCTCTATTCTCACCATTAGCCCTGTGTGGCATCATAGATTAGGCCATTGTGGTCAAAATATTTTACGTATTTCAAGCAATCAAAAACGCATATGTAATAGCTCTAGTTTTTCTCATGATTGTATTTCCTCTCGGTTAGGCAAGTCTCAACGATTACCTTTTTCTGATGCTATCCATACTTCCTCTTCTCCCTTGCAATTAATTCATTATGATGTATGGCAATCTCCTGTTCTTTCCAATTTGGGATTTAAATACTATGTCTGCTTTATTGATAATTTTTCTCGTTTTACGTGAATTTACCCCTGACGTGCTAAAAACGAGGTTTTTGACTCCTTTAAAATTTTTAAATCATTAGTTGAAAATCTTTTTAACACTAGAATTAAAAATTTTCAAAGTGATGGAGGGGGTGAATTTGTTAATTCCAATATGCAGCAGTTTTTTAATTCTCATGGAATTTGTTTTTAAAAATCACGCCCCCATACTCCTCAACAAAATGGGCTTGCTGAGCGTAAACACTGTCATCTACTTGAACTAACTCGGGCTATGCTTATTGAGGCATCTATTCCTAGTTATTTGTGGGTTGATGCATGGTTTACGACTGAATATATTATTGTGAAAGACATTAGAATATACTTTAGAATATACTTTAGAATATTCTTCTATCCTTAGAATATACTTAAGAATATTTTAGGAATATACTCTAGGATATTATTATTGTATAGAATCTTATAGGAATATTCTATCTTTGTAATCTATATTTATAGGGACTTAACCCTCCAATGAAATACACAGAAAATCCTTTCCTCTCCAATATTATTTCTTAGTTAATATGCTCTATTTCAACATGGTATCAGAGCCTTTCATTTCAATTTAGTTTTTCAGATTTCAATTTAGTTTTTCACACTCGTTCTTTCTCAAAGAACTTGAGTTCAGTTCAGAACCTCTTGAGTTCAGTTCAGAACCTCTGTGCACCATTCTGTCTACAAGAAACTCAACCTAGTCAGAACCTCTTTACACAGAATCTCTATTCAGAAGCTTAGTTCAATCTCAGAACCTCCGATTATTCCCAGAACCTCTTCCCAGAAGCTTTTGCCAGAACCTTCGATCTCAGAAGCAACTGGGTATCCTCTGGTTCTCCTGCCAGTGTCGACCGAACACCCAAAGTCCGCACTCCAAAATCATTGCGCGTGAGTGACACGCGCCGCCGGAAGATTCCGCAGCCAACTCACGCGCCGCCGGAAGATTCCGCAGCCAACTCACGCGCCGGCGCGTGACGCCGTGTTTCTGGCCGGAATCTGATCGGAACTCTTCGTCTGAAACTCGCCTGAAAGTCCTCTGCCAGGTATACTTTACTTCTCTCGTTCTTTGTCCAGCAAGGGACGGGATCTGTGGGCCGGAGGAAGCTTCGTGGTTGGTCGCTAGTGTCTGGCATCGGATACTATGGACGCCCCAGGTGGGTTGGTCGCTGCCTCGCTGGTGTCTAGCATCGGATATGTGTGGACACCCCTTGAACTGCTACCGATATGTCAGCGCATCAATTTTAAAAGTTGAGTAAGTTTTTTTTTCCTCCAAATTCTCTTCTCCAAATTTTGAGCCCACAAACGGGGAAACGCTGCTGTAGCTTATGGCAGTATCTCAATTTTGAACTTACTACTGCAAAAAAAAAAAAAAAAAAAATAAAAAAGAATGTTTTGTACCACTCAGTTTGGTAGAGAAAAAAGGTGCAATTACTGCAAGAAGCCTGGACACTTGCTCAAAGAATGTAGAAAGTTGCTGTTCAAAAATCAAGGAAATCAGCTTGCTCATGTTGCTTCCGCTACGAGTTCATTTGATGGATCAATTGCTATTTCTTGAGACGAGTATGCTAAATTTATTTGCTACCAAGAATCTCTAAAGCATTCATCTACCCCTATCTCGGTAGTCGCAAATTCAGGTATTTCAAACACATGTCTTGTTTCATCATCCTCAAAATGGGTCATTGACTCAGGTGCCACAGATCATATGACTGGTAATCCTAGTCTATTCTCATCATTTCACTCACATTTACCTGCTTCCAGTGTCACTTTAGCAGACGGGTCTACCTCACCCGTTCTTGGATCTGGTACTGTTGTACCAACTTCTACATTACCATTATCGTCTGTTTTGAGTCTTCCTAATTTTGCATTTAATCTGCTTTCCATCAGTAAAATCACACGTACTCTTAATTGTTCTGTAACATTTTTTCCGGGATATTGTGTGTTTCAGGATCTGTTAACGAAGCATACTATTGGTCAAGGACATGAGTCGGGTGGTCTTTATATTTTGGATACATCAATTACAAAAGGTATCTCTTGCCTTGGGGTTGGAAATCTATTAGAAGCTCATTACCGATTAGGACATCCATCTCTCTCACTAATGAAGCAATTATATCCTCAGTTTAATAAAGTGTCTTCTATACAATGTGAGTCGTGTGAGTTTGCTAAACATCATCGCACTAGTTTAAGTCCCCGACTTAATAAACGAGCAAATGCTCCGTTTGATCTTGTCCATACTGATGTTTGGGGGGTATGTCCAGTTGTGTCCAAACCTGGTTTCAAATATTTTGTCACTTTTGTTGACGATTATTCTCGTATGACATGGGTGTATTTTATGAAGCGCCGATCCGAGTTATTTACTCATTTCTCTGCATTTTGTGCTGAAATTAAAACTCAATTTAATGTTCCTGTTCGTGTGTTAAGGGGAGACAATGCCCAAGAATATTTATCTGCTCCATTTAAATCTTGTATGCTTCAACATGGCATTATTCATCAAACTTCATGCGTAGACACACCTCCTCAAAATGGAGTTGCTGAAAGAAAGAATCGACATCTGTTAGAAACTGCAAGGGCTCTTCTATTCCAAATGAATGTGCCTAAACAGTTTTGGGCTGACGCTGTGTCTACTTCATGTTTTTTGATCAATCGTATGCCATCTTCTGTTTTGGATGGTAAAACTCCTTATCAATGTCTTTTTCCAAATAAAGAACTTTTTCCTATTCCACCTAAAATATTTGGTTGCACTTGTTTTGTTAGAGATGTTAACCCTCATCGGACGAAATTGGACCCCAAGTCATTGAAATGTATTTTCTTGGGTTATTCTCGAGTTCAAAAGGGGTATAGATGTTTTTGTCCAAGTACAGGTCGATATCTTATTTCAATTGATGTCTCATTTCATGAAAATACACCATTTTCATCATCCAAGACAGATATTCATGAGGACAACGATGAAATACTCATTTACACAGTTACTATACCTGAGACCACACCTTCAGTAACTATGTCGAATGTCACTGTTCCTGACCCTAGACCTCCTGTACACTTGGTTTACACCCGTCGACACAAAGCACAAGATCACTCCCCACCTGTGACACCTGTGATTACATATCCTGATACTGGTCCGACTTCGATCTCATGTCCTGAACCAGTACCTGCATCTTCAGATCTTGTCTCTACATCTGATCTTGACCTCCCGATAGCACTACGTAAAGGTACACGGTCTTGTACTCATCCTATTTCCTCATTTGTGTCATACAGTCAGTTATCTCCTGCCTCATGTTCTTTTGTTGCTTCCATTGATTCTATTTATGTTCCCAAATCTGTTAAAGAAGCTTTGTCTCATCCTGAATGGCGTCATGCCATGGTAGAGGAAATGAATGCTTTGGATCTTAATGGTACTTGGGATTTGGTATACTTGCCTTCAGGGAAGAAGTCTATTGGATGTAAGTGGGTCTTTGCTGTTAAGGTTAATCCAGATGGATCTGTTTCTCGATTGAAAGCTCGATTGGTTGCAAAGGGTTATGCTCAAACCTATGTTGTTGATTATTCTGACATTTTTTCTCCTGTTGCTAAATTAACATCTGTCAGGTTACTTATCTCACTCGCTGCAACTCATGACTGGCACTTACACCAGTTGGACATTAAAAATGCATTCTTACATGGTGACCTTCAGGAGGAAGTTTATATGGAGCAACCTCCGGGATTTGTTGCTCAGGGTGAGTATGGGAAAGTTTGTCGACTTCGCAAATCTCTTTATGGTCTGAAACAGAGTCCTCGTGCATGGTTTGGGAAATTCAGTCAATCCATTGAACGGTTTGGAATGATAAAAGGTCAATCAGATCACTCTGTCTTTTACAGAAAAACGAAAGCAGGTATCACATTGCTTGTGGTGTATGTCGATGATATTGTGATTACAGGAAGTGATACCGCAGGTATTTTGGCCCTTAAGAATTTTCTTCATAGCCAATTCCAAACAAAAGACCTAGGCTCATTGAAATACTTTCTGGGTATTGAGGTAACACGGAGTAAGAAAGGCATATTTCTATCTCAGCGTAAATATGTACTTGATTTACTAACTGAAACAGGGAAATTGGGAGCAAAGCCAAACACAACTCCCATGGTTCCCAATGTGCAACTCACTTCAGAAGGCATACCATTCAAAGACCCAGAAAGGTACAGAATATTGGTTGGAAAGCTTAACTATCTCGCAGTCACTCGTCCAGACATTGCTTACTCTGTGAGCGTAGTGAGTCAATATATGTCATCTCTGACAGTTGATCATTGGAATGCAGTAGAGCATATATTATGTTACTTGAAGGGGACACCAGGACGAGGTATTGTTTACCAAAATCATGATCACATGAGAATAGAATGCTTTGCAGATGCTGATTGGGCTGGATCTAAAGATGATAGGAGATCCACATCTGGCTATTGCGTCTTTGTTGGTGGTAATCTCGTCTATTGGAAAAGTAAGAAGCAAAATGTGGTTTCTCGTTCGAGTGCTGAATCAGAATATCGGGCTATGGCACAATCGGCATGTGAGATAATCTGGATAAACCATTTGCTGAGTGAAATCGGATTGAAGACACCAATGCCTGCTAAACTCTGGTGTGATAACCAAGCTGCTATACACATTGCCAACAACCAAGTGTTTCATGAGAGAACAAAACATATTGAGGTCGATTGTCACTTTGTTCGAGAAAAGATACAACAAGGATTGATCTCTACAGGCTATGTGAAGACTGGAGAGCAACTTGGAGATTTGTTCACTAAAACATTAAATGGAATTCGTGTTGGTTATTTATGTAACAAGTTGGGCATGATAAATATCTATGCTCCAACTTGAGGGGGAGTGTGAAAGACATTAGAATATACTTTAGAATATTCTTCTATCCTTAGAATATACTTTAGAATATTTTAGGAATATACTCTAGGATATTATTATTGTATAGAATCTTATAGGAATATTCTATCTTTGTAATCTATATTTATAGGGACTTAACCCTCCAATGAAATACACAGAAAATCCTTTCCTCTCCAATATTATTTCTTAGTTAATATGCTCTATTTCAACAATTATTAACAGATTACCCACTCCAACACTTTCTGGTTTCTCTCCTTATGAAAAACTTTTTCAAAAATCCCCTGATTTCTCCCTTTTACGGGTTTTTGGATGTGTGTGTTTTCCTAATATTGATGCCACTTCCTCAAATAAACTTTCTCCCCGATCTATTCAATGTGTTTTTCTGTGATATGCATCTGGTTATAAAGGTTCTCGTTGTCTTGACCCTAAGACTGGTAAGGTTTACATTAGTCGTCATGTGCGTTTTTGTGAGAATATTTTTCCATACACCACTTTGACTTCTTCTACACTTGCTTCTTCCTCATCTACAAACCAAATCAATGAACCCATTATACCTCTATTTTCCTGGAATAATCTGTCAACCAGCCTCACTGACCCTTCTCGGCCAACTCCACACATCGACCTTGCTCAGCACCAGAACCCGGTTCCCACAGCCCACGAAACACACACCTCAGACCCACAACCTGCTCGACCACCCCTCAGCCCATTTTCCCCAGCTCACCCACCTCACGTCACCACTCCACCAGGCCAACCCCGGTCACCTCCCAGCCCTGTCCCCTTCTTTCTTTCTTCGGCCCAGAACTCTACCCATAACCAGTCCAATGGACACCCACCGAGAGCTACCAGCCCAGCACCCGTCCCAAGCCACTCCTCTCCAGACAGCATGCCTACTTCCACGCCCTCGGACAGCAATCCCAGCTCAACAACAGTACCCGAACCGCCTGCTGTTCCTCCCAATAATGTCCACCCGATGCAAACTCGGGCCAAATCAGGAATTTTCAAACCAAAATCTATTTTTAATCTCAACACAGTTGCTATTTCAGCGGATCCTACTTGTTTTTCTGAGGCAAATAAACAGTTAAAATGGCATCAGGCTATGGCTGAGGAATTTAATACACTTCTTGCTAACCATATATAGGATTTGGTACCATTTGATAATTCTAAGAATATTGTTGGATTTAAGTGGATTTATAAGACAAAATATCTATCTGATGGGTCTATTGAGCGCCATAAGGCACGATTAGTTGCTCAGGGCTTTAATCACCAGGCTGGTGTGGATTTTTCTGAAACTTTTAGTCCTGTTATTAAACCCACCACTGTTCGTATTGTTCTTACTTTAGCGATTTCTTTTGGGTGGGTTATGTGTCACCTAGCTTGATGTTAAAAAATGCCTTTCTTCATGGTCATCTAACCGAAGAAGTTTATATGTGTCAGCCGCGGGGCTTTATTCATCCTTGGTACCCTCATCATTTGTGTCGCTTGCGCAAGGCTATTTATGGTCTTAAACAGGCTCCTCGAGCTTGGTTTCATAGGTTCAGTAGCTTTCTGCTAACTCATAATTTTATATGTAGTAAGTCAGATAATTCTCTCTTTATTTGTCGACAGAGTTCTTCAGTTATTTACTTACTGTTATATGTGGATGATATTATTGTTACTGGCAATTCTTCATCTATTGTCTCTAAATTTATTCATCTTATTGCTCGTCACTTTGCCATGAAAGACTTGGGTGATCTTCATTATTTTATTGGCATTCAGGCCACTCGTAACGGTAGGTATGTTTCTCTCCCAGCACAAATATGTCTCTGACCTTCTCTCCAGGTTTCATTTACACACTATCAAGTCTGTTCGTACTCCTCTTGCATCTCGTACTTCTTTGTCTCTCACAGATGGTGAGTTACTTGCAGATACGACTGAATATCACAGCATTGTAGGTGCATTACAGTCAGTGTTCTAAAAGGCCTTAAAAGGCGCCGCATAGGCGGGCCTAGGCCCAAGGCGAGAACAAAACGACTCGCATATCCTATATGCGTGACAAAAGGCGGCATGGCCCATAAAAAATAAGCTCAAGCCCAACAAATAGCAGGGCTGTGTACTGATAGGTCACGTGCACTACGCATACAAGTGAGATGACACGTTCGTCTGCTTCTAACGCCCAGCGGGTGTCTATTATATATATAGCACGTTGAAAGGAGGGATGTTTCCTCTAGTTCCGGTGTGGGACGAAGGACAAAGATATTAAACTACTAAGGGTGATATTCTTATCTCTTAACAACTCGGCTGCACCACATATTTTGAATGTTTGGCATTTCAATAAATACATTTCAATTCTTATCTCCCTACTATATAAATCGTGGAAGGGAGTTATCTTGGTTCTGTTCTGTTACTACAGTCCTCACGGCTTCTTCGTTATATAAGCGTCAATTGCCTAACGGAAAGGGGCTGTTTATTTCGCAGCCTGTGTGTCAACCAAAGATAAATATCGCACCATTTGATTACCCGCAGTGGAAATCCCGCTGACACACTTCCTATCTGCGCCGCACGCAGCTGCCTTGCTTTTCCCATCCGTTCAGTCATTTACCTCTCTCGGCCATTGTTTTTACGCATTCCTACCGCTGCGCCTGCTATCCATTCTCTTCGCCTGTAAGTTTTCTTTTTTTCTTCCTCTGACTCTCTCGGTGCTCTTGTGCTTCACTGCTTCTGTCTTTGGTTTTGTGTTTATTGTTGTTTCGGGGCTGGTTTTACAAGGATCGTTATTGGGTCTGTGCTTGTCTTTCTCTTTGCGATTGGGACTTGGGAGATGAAGTTATACCTTTTATTGAATTTATTGAATCAGGAATCTCTCATTATATTTTTTGTATTTGGGTTCTAATGTTAAAGATTAAGTCTTTCATGTTTTTTGGGATTCATTGCATGCTGATTCTTCTAATTCGCATATCCTAATTGGTGTATAGATACTACGGAGTATATTTTTCTTTAATAAATGTCTAATGTGCAGGAACCATCCTTTCCACATTCTTTTATAGTGAAATCATTTTCATTACTGATATGTAAGTATTTATCATCAGTAGTTGTTTTAAAATTGTCGTGCACAGATGGCAATGATTCCTGGTGAAGATATGTGAAGTTTAAATTGCCGTGCACAAATTCAAGTCTAAACCCAAAACACTTTACAACCCACCACCGATATGTGAGTATCTAGCCTCTCTGTTGGTAAAAAATTGATCGAGTCTCAAGATAAAGACCTAACCGCGTAAAGCTCTTAAGCTGCAATCAAGCAGTAAAGTTTTTTTCTAATTTGTGAGTCTAGACACCTGGTATGCTCTTGGGGTGGCATGGAGAGGGGGTTGACTAATTTGTGTCTACTCCATATCTGTGTTCTGGTTTTGCTGCTAGAGACTTTAATTTATACAATTGTTCCTGGTTGATAATTTAGGTTACGTTTCTAATGCTCTTTTCTCTATTTGCAAACAACAAGTGTAAAATACATGATTCCTTTGAGGCTCTAAAACTCAATTCATGTGTACTCTCTGAAAAGGCTTTTAAATGAAATAGGGTGTTTACTATTTTATATCTTTGATTTTTTTCAGTATTTCCACAACTGGACTGGTAATAGGTGGGCTTGTATCTTCCATTCTTGATATAAATATTCTTTATCCATGTAAACTATTTCAGCTTATTTTTGTTTACTTGATTTTTATGTTAAGCAGTTTCCATTTTTTACAATTCCATTTTTTTTCATATTACTTGACAGTAGTTTCCACATACTGAGTATCAACATTTTGGCAGTTGTACTCTTCTCCCTTCCGTTCCTGACAGGATGCTACTTCCATGGACTTTGCAAATCTAACCTATGGAGTGGACATGACGAAAAACAGATGGACATGTGTCTTGCAGGTCTAAGTTTGATTCTTTTTGTATTTTATGTGTTAGCATATGCTAGGTCTTAGAAATTTCAAACCATTACTTAAAAAAGAACATTCTATATTCATTTTTGGTGCTGTTTCTATGTGGCTGATGAGGTCAATATATTTTTCCCTTGCAGAGAATTGCTGTAGCTTATGTTGTGGCAGCTATTTCAGAAATCTGGCTTAGGTATGACTGCAAGGTTGATTCAGGATTATCTTTGTTCAAGAGATACATATACCAATGGTGAGTTCTTGCTCATTCTTTTTCCATAACTAGATCTTCACTATGCTCAAAGATTGGGTAATTGAGATCAGAGGGTGATTTTTGAACCATCTAGCCAGAGTTGATCACTCAACAACATTACTTACACCGTGAGCTTCGCCCATTCATTAAACCAAAGAGTAGCAACAGGATGTCATATGGGACAAAGACAGCTTCATAAGCTATTTTTACTATGATGTCTTAAATCTTAATTATGTTCATCCTTTGCAAAATGATCCTTAAGATCAATGCAATCTGAAAGGCTCTAACCTTTTGAGGTAAGATGACTTAGAAAGTCATTGAATGTGCCTCATACACCCATCTTTACCTCTTCGACTGAAAAAGCATTATAGAACCATTTGGTGTTTCTTGTAATTAATATGGTGGTTGTGTGGTTGATTGATTGACATTTGTAATCTTTTCTCCACATTATGTCATTATCCCAGTCATCTAGGGTAGAAAGCAATTTGCATGAACCTCTGTATGCCATCTTAATATATTTGTAATAATACAAAGTGGGCATAGGATATTGTTTCATCCAAAGCATGACATAATATACTGCATAGTTTCCAGTGACAGATTATTAGAGTTTTGCGACTTTCGTTGTATTAAGTATACGGTGATTCATTTAATGGGACAGAAGAAGATATAAGATTATAAGATACTCTAGAGCACATTACCCTTAACTGCACAGTATCTTGTGCTCTAATAAGTTAGGGTTAGCTGCAATTAAATTCTCTTAAATGTGAGGATAAATTTGTCGGGATATATGGGTCAACTTTTTGTGTGCTCTGTCTAGAGTTTGTTTTGCTAAGTCAACAATACCTACTATAATTCAATTTTTCCAAAATTTATTGTTTTAAAAAGTTCATTTTCCTTAACTTTTATTGAAACAAGTAAAAGTTAAAGAAAATGCACTTTTTATAACAATAAAAAGTGAGTTTGGTTTCCTCCCACACTGCATGCGTACTACATAATGATTTTTATTATGATACATTGGTCTTAGTTAATCTTACACTCTTATTTCAATCTAAATTTGCCATATATATACTGTGGAAGGGAGTTAAGTAGGTCCTATTTCCGTGTGTACAGTGTCCAACCTTCAACCTCTGTTTATTGCCTCTGTTTGCCTAAATTATGTGCAGAAATTCTAGGGTTGTGAGAAGTCTTCAGCCTGGCTGCTCACCCTCCAACCAGTACCAAGTTGCCCTCATTTGTATGATTGGAATATCATGCGATGTATTCTGCCACCGATTAATGCTTTGAGGGTTTCAATGGAAAATTGCTCTGCCACGTGCTACTTTCTGAGAACCCCTCGGTGGCTACCCATAATGTGGATAAAATTCTGGAAATCTGAATAAGGGTTCTCCTGTGAAGTCTGGATGAAATTATGAACTTGAATTTGTGCATCATGTACTGAATCATTATTTACTTTTTCAGAAAATGGCATATATGTTGGGGGATTACCGCCAGATACTGTCAAAGATGATCTTGCTGGTGTGATCAAGTTTTTGGGTAGAGTGAAGAATTTTGACGTTGTTGAGGTCATTCGATGTGATGATGTTTACTGGTTTGGATTTGTTCACTTCCAGTCTGCAGATTCTGTGAAGGCAGTTGAGGTTCTAAAGCTAATGGATGTCAAAGATCTCAGACTTTCTCATGTCAAGAGTCATCTCCAGGTACGATTTAAACAAAAAAAATACAAAAAAAAAACTGCACTCCATATCGCATAATCTCTTCTGGAGGTGGGGTTGGATGGGGTGGGGAGGTCTGGAAGGCAGGCACAGTAGGCGATGAGGCCGGGCAGTAGTGAGTGAATGAAATTAAAGAAGAATACACAGTAAATAAAGTCCGATGACCGAGAAAGGGGGCGAGGGTGTAAGAGACAAAAGTAAGTCATCATTTCTCAATAATACGGAAATGACGAGTTAAATGATTTCAGTCTGAACCGCAAATTTGATACTGAATTGCAAGTATTCTTATGGCACAATTTTCTTTATACTGCTTTCATGTTGTCTACATTGCGTGTTACTCTTTTGTGACGTTTGTTGGTGTAACACGCATGGCTTGCTTTTATGTTTCTTACTTACTTCAGTTGTCCCTTTCGCAAATTGATTTAGCATTCCTTTCATTCCCAAATTTTGTACCTCCCATTGGGCATGACAACCGCGCACCGCGCGGGCCACCGCTAGTTCTATTATATACTCCGTATAAAAGAAGTATATATTCAATCTAAATGATCAATACTTTTTACTATTATACTACGTAGTATTATTATATATATATACGGAGCAAGCACTATAATATTTACTCCTACTATTATTGAAGTATTGTTATATGCTTTTAACATTTGTATACTACGTGTATAAAAATGATATAGTATGATGTTTTACAAAATATTTTCTGATGTTTCATTTATGTATGAGATTTTTTCAAAGTTATTACTTAAATAAAATTCATTTACAAAAATATAACTAAAAATCAATACTCCATATAATATAATGTCATACTGTCATGATCACTTAGGTTTAAAAATTGAACATGCGTTAGTATGACTAATATTAATACAATAATAAAATGTCACATTTTTGTAACCTATTTTTATTTTAGTCATAAATATGTACTTATATTATTATATACTTACTAACATTTCTATAAAAATTAAAAAATAATTAGTAAAAATTGAAACGCCTTTTGGCGCCTAGGCCTCGCTTAAACTCGCCTAGGCTTCGAAGGCTTAAGGCTCGGCTATGCCGCCTCTTCACGCCTCACGCCTTTTAGAACACTGATTACAGTATTTAACTTTGACAAGACTTGATATTACTTATGCCGTGCATTTAGTCTCTCAGTTTATGCATGCCCCACGTACCACTCATCTTTTGCTGTCAAGAGGATTTTTAGATATTTGCAGGGTACCATTGATCATGGTCTATGGCTTCAGCCTACACCTAAGGCGACATGTATTATGGCATATTCATATGCAGATTGGGCTGGATGTCATGATACTTCTCGCTCTACAACTGGTTATGCTATTTTTCTTGGGCCAAATCTTGTGTCTTGGAAATCCAAGAAGCAACCTACTGTCTCTAAATCTTCTACAGAAGCAGAGTATCATGCTATTGCTTATACAGTACAGGACACACTCCACATTCGGTCTATTCTATTCGAGCTTGGCTTTCCTATCACATCACCAGTACGTTTGTTCTACGATAACATCTCTGCATCCTACTTGACAACGAATCCTGTTAAGCATGCACGGAGTAACCATATTCAGATTGATTATCACTTTGTTTGTGAACGTGTGGCTCATGGCGATCTTGTGGTTAAATATGTACCTGCTAGTCTTCAGTTGGCGATATATTTACTAAGAGTCTGTCTAGTCAGCAATTTCATTTTTTAAAGGACAACGTGCACGTTGTATCTCCCGCACAGTTAGTGGGGGTGTAATAGCCTAATATTAAATTAGGAATACTTTGTATTTTTGGAAACTCTCTTTATTATAAATATATCTGCCAGGTACCCTATTGGGCAACCTTTCCCATTATTTCACATTTACTATGTACTCTCTTAAAACTTTGCCAACTTTCCTTTTTTGGATGTCCCACTAATTTTTCCACTTTCCCTTTTGAGTAAAAAATTTGTGGTTATAGTTAATTCTCTCTCCTTTGCACAAACCTCAACCACACAATTTTTACTTTATTAATCCTTGTGCCGATCAAACTTGGCAAAGTTTTAAGGGACGGAGGGAGTACGTACCTAGTATAGTATTGCCGTATTGGGACATGACATACAAGGGTAATTCTATTCACAGCCACACTTTTGCTAAATACAGCCTCATATATCTTCAAATGTCTAAATTATCCTTACAACCACAAACTTAATGTTCATTGAAATAGACAGGAGACAAATTATCCTTCCTGATCTTAAAAAGTGGAAGAATCCAGTTGCTCCGTCAAGTAACACGGAACAAAGGTTTATGAGACTCCGACGAAGCTTAGAGTTCCACTACCTCCGTCGCAGTGCCGCCCAACTCCCAGTCGCTCCGCCACTGCTCTGGTCCCCATTGCTGCTCAAGGAAAGCCCAGGCCTTGATTACAACCTCTGTAATTCTTTAATTTGTTCAGTTCCTGGAGCTCAACCTCGAGGTCTGCCATTAATGGCCGCTCAAAGCTCTGGGAAGCACAGACTACCCCAAAATCATTGCCGGTGTCACGGCTGAAAGTCTCTGCCCTGTACAATACTTGTCTCCCAGCAACGCTACTCCTTCTTGGTCCCAACTACGCTGACTCCTGGTCCTTCTTCAACATTTGATTCAACTTAAACTTTGGTTGATTCTTCTTGTTTCCGTTGAGTCTCTTCAAGTTACGACGCTGGTGTCTTCTAACGACCTTGAACGTGATGCAGAATTTAAGCCTATTCATTTCAGTAGGTAGATAGAGGGAAGATGACCTTGAATAGAAGCAGAGGAATGGAATTAAGGGGCTGGAGTCGGTAATAGGAAAGAAGCGATGAATGAAATTAAGGGTATATTTGGATTTATTAAAAAAATGTGATTGTATTTAGTAAAATGGTGGCTGTGAATAGAATTTCCCGACATACAATTATTAAGAAAAATTAGTTCACATACGTGATTGAGTTTTCTTTTAATTTGAAATTTGCTGATCTGGTTTAATCTAATCTTGTCTGGTTTGTTTAAATATGGTTTGGTTTGATCTAACTGGTTTGGTCTGGTAATGTCTGGTCTCAGTGTATTTTATAATTGTCCAAGTGTGGTCTTGTTTGCCCTTGTCTGGTCTGGTATGGTCTGTTTAAGTCTGGCCTAATCTGGTCTGGTCTGGGATTGAAAACAGTAAAAAAAATATCATTTATCAAAGTTAATATGAGTCAATCTTAGTGAGACATACCAAAAAGGAAAGATGTGACAACATTATTAGCCAGACAATGAGAGTATTTTTTTTAAGTATATAAATAATCTATTTGTTAACATTACAATTGTCAGCACTGAATGTGTTGAATCATAAAAAAAAATACGTAGTATTATATTTAGAATCTATTTGATGATGTAACCCTGTTTTTGGCTTAGTAGTGTTGGATCAACGCACCGGCTCAGACCTCAATCACCAAAAGCCCAAAGGCTCGCTCAGCATTCACCACCAAGGTTGCAATAGGGAAACTGAAGGGCAACAGTCAACTACACTCAGAGTTTAAGAGCCCAACCACCCAGACCACACCAACGGGAATCTCACCGGAGGAGATAACCCCCCAAACTACCAGACCAGAGTGAAGACCCCAGTAGGAACCCCAAGGTCTCACCGGAGTATAGCCGGAGCTAATACTCAGAGAGAACCGACACTCTCTCACTCTAGGAAAGGGGCAACGCACAGAGAAGCTCATCGGGTAGAGAGAAGACGGAAGGGATCAAATAAGGGGTTCTGGAAGCAACCAGACAATTTAAGCAAAGGGCCACAGAGGAGTCACGGGCTGGGTATGGACAAAAGGGTTGAGTGGGCTGAGTCAGGCAGACAGCCCAAGTTGGGCCAGAATAATTAATAGGAGACCAGCCTATTAATTGAAGTGGACCAAGAGGCAACACGGGTGAAGTAAGGCCAAAGGAAGAGGTGGACCAATACCATCAACAATCTCCACCTTATTGGTCCCCCTGGTGGTGTAGAGCACAACTGTGAATGGGAGTGTCATCATCGCCGGTTTTTCTTGTTTTAATCTGTTCTTATCAGCCACAATCTAAATTAAGAATACGTTTACAAGAAAACAGTTTTTCAAAAGTGAGACATTTAGTCCCCATATCAGCAGGGTTGAATTCAGAAGCTATTTTGCATAGCTTGATCCCTCCTTTATCCACAATGTCCCTGATGAAGTGGAACCTAACATCAATGTGCTTGGTCCTGTCATGAAATACTGGGTTTTTGCACAGTTGTATAGCAGACTGGCTATCAGAGTACACAGTTACAATCTGTCTAAGAAAACCAATTTCAGATAGAATACGTTTCAGCCAGATAGCCTCTTTAAAGGCCTCAGTTGCTGCAACGTATTCAGATTCAGTAGTAGAAAGTGCAACAATAGGCTGAAGTTGAGATTTCCAACTTATGCATGAACCACACAAAGTAAAAATATAAGAAGTAGTAGACTTCCTATTATCCCTATCATTTGCATAATTGGAATCAACATAACTAGTAAGGCATATTTCAGAATCAGACTTAGAAAACACAAGACCATGAGAAATGGTACCCTTAAGGTATCTAAGCAACCATTTCAGGGCATTCCAATGAGGCATCCCAGGGTTGGCCATATATCTACTTAAGCAGCTGACTGCATAGGCAATATCAGGCCTGGTGCTTACCATGAGATACATAACCGACCCTATTGCGTTGGAATAGGGTACACACTTCATCCTATCAATTTCAGGGCCAGTCTTAGGAGACTGATCCTTACTAAGGGCAAAATGAGAAGCCAAGGGCACATTGACAGGCAGGGCAGAATTCATATTGAACTTCTTAAGGACTTTATCAAGGTAGGGGGTCTGGTTAAGGGTAAGGGTGTATCTACTCCTATCCCTAATGATATTAATCCCTAGGATTCTCTTAGCATCTCCTAAGTCCTTCATAGCAAAGTTTTCACAAAGACACTGTTGAACATTCTTAATGGCATTCATAGAGGGGCTGATAATAAGCATATCATCCACATAGATCAACAAGAAAACAAGTACAGAATCAGTATCCTTAAAATACAAGCAAGGATCATAATCGGACCTTTTGAAACTTAGGGAGGACATGCATTGGTCAAATTTAATGTTCCACTGCCTAGGAGACTGTTTAAGGCCATAGAGAGCCTTCTTAAGAAGACAAACATGCCTAGGGTACTTAGGGTCAACAAAACCCTCAGGTTGGGTCATAAAAATCTGCTTATCCAATTCTCCATGTAGAAAGGCAGTGGTAACATCCATCTGCTTCATTTCCCAGTCATTATGGGCAACTAATGCAAGCATCATCCTAATTGTAGTAAATTTTACTACATGAGCAAAAATTTCAGCATAGTCTATCCCTTCCTTTTGAGTGAAACCTTTTGCAACTAACCTAGCCTTAAACCTAACATTATTAGGTTCCTCTTTAACTTTGAAAAGCCATTTGCACTCAACAACAGAACAATTAGGAGTCCTAGGCACTAGGGTCCAAGTCTTATTCACCTTAAGGGAATCTATTTCACTTTTCATAGCACTGAGCCAATTCTTAGATTCGCTAGAGGCAAGGGCTTCCTGGTAAGTTCTAGGTTCATTCAAATCAAGAGTTTCAAAAACAGAGAAAGCAAACAAGGAAGTATCATAGAGATGAAAAGCATAATCAGTCATGCTATCAGAAATTTTCCTTATATTTCTCCTAACTCTATCTCTAGCCAATTGATATCCTTCTAGACCTTGATCATCAGTATCATGAGAATTATCAGCAGAATCATTCTCAGTAAACACTTCATGCATATTCTCATTACTATTAGAATCAGTGTGCAGCTCCACCTCACTAGAGGTAGAGTGGGTATCATGCATAGTGTTGGTAAGGTCAGGATTATCAGAAGAGTCCAATTCAGTAAACAGGGGGGTGGCAGCAGGTTGCACAGGCTCCACCTCACTTTGAGGGGTGCCATTCGGTTCAGTTTCAAGGTCAGTCACAGTCTTAACTAAGCAAGGAAAATCAGTTTCATTGAAGATCACATTTCTACTTATAATAACTTTAAAACCAGGTTGATTTCTATCCCAAACCCTATAGCCTTTTACACCTTCAGGGTAACCTAGGAATACACACTTTTTAGACCTAGGATCAAGCTTATCTGTCTGTTGATGAACAAAAGCAGCACACCCAAAAACTCTCAAGTTTGACAGATCAATGGACTTTCTAGAGAACACAGATTCAGGGGTTTTACCCCCTAAAGGCACAGAAGGAGACCTATTGATTAGATACACAGCAGTGTTAACTGCTTCTCCCCAAAACTTCTTGGGGAGCCCGGAAGTGGACAACATGCTCCTAACTTTATCTAGAAGAGTCCTATTCATCCTTTCAGCTAGGCCATTTTGCTGGGGAGTATAGGGCACAGTTTTGTGTCTCCTAATCCCACATTCAGAACATAAACTATCCATGTCCTTATTGCAAAATTCTAAGCCATTATCAGTTCTAAGGGTTCTAACCTTACACCCAGTTTGGTTTTCTACAAGAACCTTCCACTCCTTAAACTTAGAATAGACATCAGACTTATGTTCTAGCAAACAGACCCAAACTTTCCTAGAGTAATCATCAATTAAGGACAGGAAATACCTCCTACCCCCATGGGTAGGGACACTGGAAGGACCCCACACATCAGCATGTATGTAGTCAAGGACAGATTTAGACTTAGGTTCACTAGGGTAACTAGAGACAGGAAATTGAACCCTATGTTGCTTGCCTAGAACACAACCTTCACAGAAAGGTATAGGTGACACCAAGTCATTTCCAAAAGACCCATTTTTTTGCAAAATGTTTAATCCTCTATTACTCATGTGACCAAGTCTTTGGTGCCAAAGCACAGACTTGTCACTGAGTACAACATTAGCATTTTCAGAAAATGGTTTAGCTTGGACAACATATAGATTATTCTGTTTCAAGGCTTTGAATAAAACAAGGGAGTTTTTCAAAATCTTCATACACCCATTTCCCCATTTACCCTCAAGACCACATTCTTCAAAAGCAGAGACTGAAAGTAGGTTATGCCTTAAATCAGGTACATGTCTAACATTTCTAATTTGAAAAACAGTTCCATTTTCAATTTTTAGACTGATGTCACCAATACCAAGGACCTTACACCTTTTACTATCAGCTAGAGAAACAAAACCAGTTTCACACAAAGTGTAGGAAGTAAACAGATTCCTAAAAGGTGTCATATGGTAGGTACAACCTGAATCTATTAACCACTCACTCTCAGTCAGACTACTAAGCACAGAATTTGCTTCATCACAGACCATAAAGACTTCATTCTCATCCTTATTGGTCACAGCATTAGCCTGGTCATTCTTTCTAGGTTGGGTACATTCTTTTATGAAATGTCCTGGGTTACCACAGTTATAGCAAATTCTCTTCCTAGACTTAAACCTTTTCTTTCCAGTTTGCCTATTTCCCTTATCATGATTATCCTTCTTAGGATACCTAGACCTGCTCTTAGACCTTCCTCTAACAAACAAGGCTTCCCCAGAATCCCTATGATGGTTTCTAGAGGATTTTAAGTCCAGTTCTTTGCTTCTAAGACCATTAATGACAATGTCTAAGGTTATATCATCCCTCCCATACTTAATGGCTGACTTAACATCATTATAGGAATCTGGTATAGCATTGAGTAACACTATAGCAGTATAGTCATCTATATGCTTATCCCCAGCCTGCTTAATGTTTTGAATTAACTTATTAAAAACATCAAGATTTTCATCAATATCTTTTGTTAGGTCCAGTCTGAACCTAAAAAATTTTTCCAATAAAAACAATTTGCCAGGAAGGGAAGTGTCAGTATATAGAGACTCAAGCTTATCCCAGAGGGTCTTAGCAGACTCAATAACTCCAACCTTTCTAAGGACAGAGTCAGACAGGTTTAAGTATATGGTTGAACAGGCAGTCTCATTCATTTCAACTTGTTTAGGCTTATCCTCAGTTTCTAAGTATTGACCAGTAACAGCCCTAAACACTTTCT